AAACTTTGGTCGAACTAAATACTGCTGAACGTCAAATATCCATAGTTACAAGTAGTATGATGAGTCACAAAACGGGTTTATTTCACAACTGTACTTTCAATGGACCAATTACAGTCCAATTTAAACAAAAACCGGAATGTTTTAATGATCCAAACTGTACACGATCCTGGAAGGATATTTCAAATGGCGTAGACGCAGTCAGTAAAAGTTCAGAAGAGTCATCTTTTGTTATAATAATTTTTGTGTTTACGCTGTTCTATTCACTGTGTATACGTTTCGTTTTTCACGGGAATACAAACTAGTTTGTATTAAATTTGAATTGTGTTGCGTATGTAATTTTTGTATGCATTCAGTGTACAACTACATACTATTCTTATAAATATTCATGTTCAAGGGCCATAATCATGATTTTATAGTAGATGCAAGTAAACTTTATTTTTACTAGTTTTATCGAATTTTCAATATACTGGTATAATATAATAGCAATAACCCCCCGCCGAAGTTGGGTATACCACGATATATTGCACAATTCACGAAATATATGCACGAGACACAGGCCTTCGGCTGGGGTTATTGCTTAAATAAAACATATCACGGACATACCTGCATATTGGCTTTTGCTGGATATCTGCCAGTCATTAAAGCAACACGTGACCTGTAAACATGACAATTATGAATATGGTGTATAAAATTCGCTCAATGTCATTAGGTGTACGCCATATACAATAATTAACGTAAAAATACATTGATTTATTTATAGCAATTCAAGATCCAACTGCAAACATTATATTTCCTCAAATTTTCGATATTGGGGTTTGTGGTTTCATTGTTTGAATATGTGGGTCACTATTTTATTTATATTATCATTCTCTTATGAATATTGCAATGTGATTGAGGCCCTCTATATCTGAGATAAGTTTCTTTATTTCTCCTTCGTTTCCTGACGCAGAGGACGCTATTGCGTCGCGGTGTATTACACAGCTTCAAAATAGTCCTATAACTTAATTTGTTAAGTCTCTTAATGTGTGTGTGGGACAGTCGCTATATACAGTTGTGGATTCTGATCTGTGCCATGTGGGTAAACAATTGTGGTTTCATTGTTCCTGGGCTTGAATATGCGAATTTAGTTCTGATATATATTAACAAACAATGCCCTATTACTCTGTACAACAGAATGTGAATACCCAATTAACATATGCGAGTGTTCTCTCCTAATAGAGTTAAAACTACAAAATACAGAAAATAAATGACATTTCACAGCTAAGAACGCAAATTTAAAATCGCTAATAATCGCGTTGCATCTCGCATCTAAGAGACGAGATTGAGTCTGAATGTCAATGCAGTCATTTAGGTCACTCGTGATTAAGTGTCCCAGATATTTATATGCAGTTACGTAATCAAGTAGTCTACAACTTAATTGACATATTTTAACCTTCGAAGAACGAAGCTGAATTACGATACATACGGTTTTTTTCAATAAAAATGAGAGATCTAAGTTTGCCATACTGTCCAACCAATAATTATTGACCATACGCTCCTGTAGTGAATACTACAATATCGTCATTGTAAAATAAATGATTCATTCTCTGACTCCCTATTAAACAACCAAATGGAAGGGAGAATAGTTCAATACTGAGGTTATCAAGATAAAATGTAAAAAAATATGGGTGAAGAGATCCCACCCTGTTTCACACCATTGGTCGAATAAAAAACATCCGAAAAACAATTATTCAATCTAACAACAAATGTTTGGTGCTAGTACCAACAAATTAAAACTTTTATTAAATAAGTCTTAACACCCATAAGTAATAACTTTTCAAAAAGAATATCACGACGAACATAATCAAATTCTTTTGGGGCATCCATAAACGTAACAAAAACAGGTGTATTCAATCTCTTGTATTATGACAAAACTTCTTTTGAAACGAAAAATAGACATGTAAGTACCATGATCTGGCTTAACCCCAAACTGATAATAACTAGTAGAAAGACAATCAATGCATCAATTGAGCCAAACTTTCTCTAACAATTTTGATGACACAGCTACGATAATTAGACTGGTCAAGAATATCGCCCCGGATCTTTTAGAATGGCGACCATTACAGTAGACATAAGCTAATTAAGTTCAAAACCATGGATCAAATTTGCAGAAAAAACAAAGGGACAGCAGAACATAAACCCTAGGGGGTGCATATTTAAAAAAAAATCTGGATAAATACCATCAATACCTGGAGAAGCTCACGATTTTAACTCTTTTATCATATTAAAAATTTCTTTCGGGGATACTAACATATCTGTAGTAAAATCAGAAGTGGGAATTTCAATTTTAAAATCCACACCTGTCTTAGTAAGTATAGACTTGTAATGACGTTACCACATATCTGACACAGCAATGTCACCAGTACAACCACCGACAGTAGAAGGTGGTGTCGATATTTTTTTCGTGAGGAAATTCTTTTCCAATACTCCACATGGTCATTCTTTAGACTCTCCGCCAAAGCATTCGCTCTAAGCTCATTTTCCGATTTTTTCACATCTGACAAGCTGCCTCTTAAATTGGGCTCTGGACTTACGCATATTTTCAAAAAAATGGGCCCGACTTAGGGGGACCTTGCTCCTTCCAAATTAGAAAATCAGAAACGTGCTTTTTCATGGTAATCGTTAACAATGGTATTCCAACCTGGGACGGCCGGCTTGTTGGGTTTCTTTGTGCGTGGAATACTCTTATTGGCAGCAGCCCGTAAAGCAGAAATAATAATACAATAAAAGTTATCTATACTGTCTTTATGAATAGAATAACTAGGTTCGGATGGAAAATGTAATTCAGAAAGAAATTTATCTCACAACAGACTATAATTAGAAATGTCAGCAGCTGAAGCGATCCGCCAGCATGGCGTAGGAACTCTCTCAGACAAAGGTTTTAAGAGAAACCCCTATAGAAAAATGGTCGGACGAAATGTCTCTATAATTCTCTATAATTCTATTCGTAGCTTCAGTACATACGATATGGTCAATCCAGCTATGTTCACTTTTGTATGGTATAAATGGTTTCACGTCGTGTCTTACGAGATGCACGATAATAACAGTATTTCAAGGATTTCAGCATAAGCTAGTGTATATGTGACTTTATTGTTAGCTTACTGGTCTATTAAATCATTTTTGTCTGCTTAATGTGTATGGGTTCACCGGAATTACGTAAATGAGAAACATTATTATGGCAAAAATAATCTTCATACTCAGAAATTATGATCTCCATTAAAGTGAAAAACGTTTCGTCGTATTCACCAGGTTAAAGTAATTCAATTCGTTAATTAAAAAAACAACACAACACACAATTTCGTGATTGTAAGATGTCGTAGCATGTATATACTTACGGTGTGCAAATTGGCTGTGAATACATATTCTTGAAAATAACGCCCTCATTAGCAAGATTATTCAAATTTGGAGTAGGAATGAAATCGTTATGCCAACCAACATCGTTCCAGCCTTTGTTACATAAGCAGTAGTCAAACATAATTATGATGGAAAGGAATCAATCATCAGTTATCAGCACATCCTATCATATTAATCATACGTAGATTTCGTGATTGAAATCTTGATCTTAGAAATATTTATAATTAATTGGGAGAAACAATATAATTTAAATTTTTGATTTTAGACTCTCATAAACACTGCTGATGAAATCTCATTAAAGCATGGAATTCATGGGCAGAAAATCAACACAGAA